AGGGAGTGTGGGTCTGCGGCGTGTACGCAGCGCCGTACTCCTGCTCCATGGCGCTCCCGTCGCTGCCGCGGCCGCAAGAGAAGGAAAGGCTTTAAGTACACAGCATCGTACTGGGTCTGAAGTTTAAGACTCAGATTTCTAAAGAAGGACCTTCCTAATTAATATTTGCTTTTTTTTAAGCTAGTCTTTCATAATCCACAGTAAGATTTTCATTCCCCAAGGAACTTCAAGAGCGTTTGTTCTAAATGACTTTGCAGGACTCCCACTGACAGCACCATTAAAGAATCTCTCCCTGCCTCCTTTCGTCTTTTCCTCTGCACAAAGCTCCCAGGAAACGAGTGTGGTCAGAATAAATTATAAATTCTGTGGTTGTATGGAGTCTAAAGGACACCTTTTTCATTCATGTTTTATTTACATGTTGTGTTGACACACACTAAGAAAATAGACCAGGTCTATTGACAGCAGATTCAGCGGAATCCATGAGGAAAGTACCACCTAGAAAGGTTTAACATTTTCTTTCCTAAGCACCTGAGGATCTCCAAAAACTTGTAAGGCTAATGAGACCTGGAAACATATTGCTAATGAATAACAGAAGCAACATCAGTGTTTGATCCAAGATTTAGTATTCATATAATCTTATCAAGAAATCCATAACACCTCCTTGCTGCCTAATCCATTTTTACCAGCTACTAATGCAGAAGAGAAAACGAGAGAAATCTTTTCCTCGAGAAGAGCTGGCAGCAAGACCATCCCTCCCAAAAGCAGGGTACAGAAACGCCCCCTGCAGTTCTGCTGTGACCAGGCCCAGTCACACAGCACAGGAAATGTTTTCCTACTCCCAGCACAGCTGACTTTACTGCTACTTAAGAAAATAATTTAAGAAACAGCAGCACCACCTACTAAGCCCTTCCAGCACTGACTACACCACCGCAAAAACAAAGTCCCAAGTTTACATTTATCTTGATTGTTACCATCTTCATTACTTATTAAACCTGGACCTGCACCATTAAGCTTCCCCAAGAAACCTTTAAAGGAGACAACAAATAAAATGTATGTACAGTTAAGAAGCTCTTTGAGAAGAGTCTCCTGCAGTAGGTTTAGCCAGAAGGACTTTTTAAAGGCTCTTTAAAGTCGGTTGTATAAACACAGAGTATATACAAATATTCCCATTCCTTATTGACAAAATAAATATTTAGGGGTGGCAGAGTGAGCACATCCCAAAGCTGAGCCCCCAGGGTCGTACCCATCTTTGATGAAAGGCATGGCAGGGCCTGGAGGAAGCAGATCCAGCTTTCCCACAGCCCAGCTCTGGCGGTAAATGCATTCCTCGGGCAGCTTGATGGGAGGAAGACACTGGCTGGGAAGAGTCTTCAGTGGTGCAAACATGGAACATCCCACTAAAGCTTGACAGTTCTCAGGTTTATAGACGTAGGAATAATCCTGCAAGTCAGACATGGGAAAGCATTAGTGTGTAAATTAGATCACTGCAGCAATTAAATGATTCTCCAAAAAACAGGAGTGAGTTCAAGCAGCAGTTCCTCAACCCAAAATCCTGACACAGCTGCAAGGGAAAGCTGAGATGTGTGCACACAATATTCACAATACAGCAAAACAAACTGAGTGAACTGCAGTGACTGAAAGGCGTTTCTGCAGCTCACTAATGCCTCCTCAGGTTTTACTCTCTCAAGTGGTAAAACACTCCATACTACAAAGAATATTACCTCACCCAAATAATGCAGGGCAAGTTACAAATTGTACTTAATCTCCCCCCATTCCTATTCAGATTTAAGTCATGAACTGGTCAATAACCACAAGCACTGACCAGGGCTGTCAGCACCACCTACCTTGATTTCAGCAGGTTTGGGGCTGCAGAAACCCTCATCCACCTCGATTCTGAACTGAGCCCCCACAGCAGAGCTATTCCCTTCCAGCACAGTTCCTCCAAGTGTAGTGTCCATGCTGCCATACTCCTTATTGTTCATGTTCATTGGAGAAAACCCCATAATATGTTGTTCCAGTGAAGGGGGAGTTGGGTACATTTTGTGGAGATCTGCAGTGCCTAATTTCAGATCAGAAGCAGACTTTAGAGCATGAAAACTTTCTGAAGTGTTTCCCAAGTCTCAAAATTTTGCAAAGCAAATGAAGGGTACATTTCCAAATTGCCACAACATATTAGAGTCAAATGTTTACAGCTACATTCTCTTTAGGCAAAAAGAAAACACAAATAAATCTTACTTATGCATGAGAGTGGGTCTAGATTTCCTGTTTTTGCCTCTTTGCAGTTGGATTTGTCATCAGTGCCGTTCACTGTTCGTTTGGATCCAGGCTAAGAAAGAAGCATTGCAGACATAAACACATGTTCATGTTTCCTGCTAACAGGAAATCTCACCTGCACATACAAAGCTGAGACATTGTTTAGTATTTATAATATTATAATATTTAGAAAAATCAAAATAGCTCAGAAGCCTAAGGTTGGGCTTACACTTGGTCTTAATTCTTGGAACCCAGAGAAGCTCTCCCAACAGGTCACAATGTTATTGAAGGGAAAAACCAGTTACAAAATATCCCTCATCCTGTTAGCAGACAGTAAAAGAAGCTAAATTAGGGCTGCCCACAGTCTACCAGAACAAACCACAACACTCCCAGAGCCATATCAACATCACTGGTGCTACCACAGCAACAGAAAAGACAAACACAAATCCTGCAGCAAGAAATACAGGGAAAGTATCTGTCAAAAGTAAAAGAAGAGATATTTTACAATCTGTAGCCATCTGAACTGTTTTAAGATGGTAAGTGTTGATGTTTAAGAGCAAACACCCTTCCTTTACATACTGATGACCTTTGATGGCTGTTAAGATCCTTCAGCCCTTACTCAGCTCCAGCTCCCATTAAAGGTGATGGGCATTTTGTCTGGGTAAGGGGATTTAGGATTACACGTGGAGCAATGCACAGTTCAGAAAAGACAACTGATTATAAATAGTATTGAAATAGAAACTAGAGAGCTAATGGATTCAGACTGCAAGAGAAACTGTTCCAAGATAATAGCTGCTGCAGACAAGCAGCTTATTTGGCAGAATGTCCAGTGTTTAAATGCCTTTTCTCTTTCAGAAGTTGCTGTTTTGTTTCAATATTACCTTGATGAAGCAGTTAACAGAGCCCAGACCACAGGAAAAGAACACACTAGCACCTGCTGAATCCGTACAAGTCAAACTAAAGGTATGTTCAGGCAGCACACACTGTGGGGATTGTAAGGAAGTGAGATCAAAAGGTTGTTTGCATCTAAAATCTGCCTGCATGAGTCGAGCAGAGCAGCCCGTTTGGCACCAAGGGGCCACAGCTCCTGATTGTGTGAATGCTTTGCAACCTCTCCTACAAACACCACCAGAAAATCAAACCCCAAACCACAGAAGGACAAGAGCTGTTCCTGGCTGGTTTTTTAGCTGGCACCTGCCAGGACTTTTTTGCACATCACTTACTGTGAGTTCATCTTCATCAGAATTGAAGAGATTGTCCAGGTCGGTGTAGGACACCACCAGGTCGGTCTCGTGGAACAGGCTGGTGGAGGCCGTGCGCGCGTGGGCAGCCAAGCGCTGGGCATCTGTGGGGAGGGCACAGCACAGGAGAGCTCAGCCCTGCATGGAAACTGCACTGGAGAGCCCAGCTCTGCATGGAAACTGCACTGGAGAGCCCAGCTCTGCATGGAAACTGCACTGGAGAGCACAGCCCAGATCTGCCTCTGCATGGAAACTGCACTGGAGAGCCCAGCTCAGCTCTGCCTCTGCCTCTGCATGGAAACTGCACTGGAGAGCTCAGCCCTGCCTGGAAACTGCACTGGAGAGCTCTGCTCTGCCCCTGTCTCTGCATGGAAACTGCACTGGAGAGCCCAGCCCAGCTCTGCATGGAAACTGCACTGGAGAGCCCAGCCCTGCATGGAAACTGCACTGGAGAGCCCAGCTCAGCCCTGCATGGAAACTGCACTGGAGAGCCCAGCTCAGCTCTGCCTCTGCCTCTGCATGGAAACTGCACTGGAGAGCTCAGCCCTGCATGGAAACTGCACTGGAGAGCTCAGCTCTGCCTCTGCCTCTGCATGGAAACTGCACTGGAGAGCTCAGCCCTGCATGGAAACTGCACTGGAGAGCCCAGCTCAGCTCAGCCCTGCATGGAAACTGCACTGGAGAGCTCAGCTCTGCATGGAAACTGCACTGGAGAGCCCAGCCCAGCTCTGCCCTGCATGGAAACTGCACTGGAGAGCCCAGCCCTGCATGGAAACTGCACTGGAGAGCCCAGCTCAGCTCTGTCTCTGCATGGAAACTGCACTGGAGAGCTCAGCCCTGCATGGAAACTGCACTGGAGAGCCCAGCTCTGCTCTGCCTCTGCATGGAAACTGCACTGGAGAGCTCAGCCCTGCATGGAAACTGCACTGGAGAGCCCAGCCCAGCTCAGCCCTGCATGGAAACTGCACTGGAGAGCCCAGCCCTGCATGGAAACTGCACTGGAGAGCTCAGCTCTGCATGGAAACTGCACTGGAGAGCCCAGCTCAGCCCAGCCCTGCATGGAAACTG